TCCTTGTATTTGTAATAATAAAATATTGAGTGTCACTTATCAGGATAAAAACTATCCTATCTCTAAGTTGGACCAAACTGCACACAGTGTGCAAAATTTCATTGAAATCAGTTCAGTATTTTAGAGAGTTCATCGCGGACAAACAACGTGACACGTAATTTTTATATATAAAGATAATCTTTATATATAAAAATTACGTGTCACGTTGTTCAATCAAGTATGTTAAGTATCTATAATAGTATGTCTATCCATTTAGTTTTGTAATAACGCTTAAAAATATTTAATTAATTTTACATATTTTAATATATAATTTAAGTTGTTTGGCATGTGTTAAACATTTTATTAAACTAATAAATATTTAAGTCAAGTTATAGGTATTTAAGTACTATGTAGTGGCGGTGTAAGAATATCTACTATCCCATATAGTCCCGCGGGTGTCTTAAGAGGCGACAGGGGGAAACAAATCAGGAGAAGGGTAGCAGCGACTTAATTAAAAAATCGCTTGGCAACTATGTCAAATATATCCTCCCTGTGAAGGCAATCTGTGGGGGAGGCTTATGTTCAGCGTGTTCAGTGGACTTTAATAGGCTTAACGGTAACATTTTATTCCACTAGTAAATATTTAATCCAAGTTATAGTATTTAAGTACCGGTGTAAGTAATTCATACCAATCTCAAGTCTGTGGTCTATACAACACCGCAACCATTTGTTGTGGTGTAAATACTAAAGTACATTTATGTGGAATCTGTCGCAATGAAATATAATCCCGTCACAACTAATGTGGTTTGATTTCTTTATCATGAAGAAACTAGTACAAAATATCCGAAATGAAATGTTTCCTCATCATCATTATCATTAATACAGCCTATCAAATCTTCCTCCATAGTTTAACACTGTTACCGTTAAGGCTGTTAAAGTCCACTGATGAACAAAGGCCTCCCCCATAGAACACATAATCACAGGGAGGATATTTGCCAGAGTTCCACACTTGGCAAGCCTGTTGGCAACCGCAGTTTATTATTTTTAGTCGTTATTAGGAAGACGCTACTGCCCATCTCAGATTTGATTCCCTCTGTCGCCTTCTACGACACCCATGGTATTATATGGGGTAGTGGATATTCTTACACCGCCAATACACGGTACAAGTTGATGATATTGGAATAGTTGATTCTTTTACACCACCGCTACACGGCAAACATTTTAAACTTCTGTTTTAATGTTTCTTCAAGGTGTAATCAATAAAATATAATGTACTTTTTTAACATACTACAAAAAGAGGTTAAAAAATGTAGTTGAATAATATTTAATAAAATTTAGTTTTATTAAATAACTAAAATGAATCGTAGAGTTGAAATCTTATTCATTTAAATGTAATAAGAGAGTATGATAATTAACGTAAGGCCTACCATAGTAGTTCGTGTATCAATAATCAATATTATATATAATCCAGCTTAGAGGATATTTCTTAAAATATTAGAGATATTTAAAGAAGAGCCCTACGCAGCGTAGGGACTGCTAAAAATATCGCACCTTAATTAATTACAATTAACACTTGACTAATAGGAGCATGAGTTCTTTTATCCAATTAGTGTAAACAAACTGTTTCCGTTTGGTGTTAATTTATACTAGTATTAGGAATCTGCCCCGGCTTCGCATGCCTACAGCGCCACCTACCGAGTCCAATTGTGAATCTGAACCACTCTCTAATCAACTTAATCACACGAAATTTAATTAAAATTGGTCCAGCCCTTTAGGAGGATGAACTTCACACACGGACAGAAATAAATTATATAGACTATAGAACTAAATTTTTACCACTTAAGAGTTTTAAACGTTGCAAAAGAAAATATGCTTGTAAAGAATTTGCTTCGTGACTTTCCGTATTTATCTAAATATTTCTTGATTTATTAAGAGCAGAACCGTTCTCTTGGTTAATATAATAAAAAGTTATTACACTAAATAGGTAAAAGTCGACGTGATCAAAATAGGTTAGGTATAATATTTGAACATCATTAAAAAATTACCTTAAGTTATATAACTTTATATTTACAATCCAGATTAGATTATACCACGTTAAACACCGATTAGCTTAAAAATACACGACACTGTGATTATGACCAAAGTCAAACAATTATTTTCACGTATCCATACGTCATCATCACCATCATTACAGTCCATCTAAATCCACTGCTGAACATAGGCCTCCTCCAAGGAATGCCACAAACCACAGTCCTGAGCTACCTGCATCCCTCGACTTCCTGCAACTCTTACCAGATAAAGATAATTAGATGTACTAAAACCATGTACAATTTCTACAGTCACTAGTAATCTAAAAAGAAACGTTTTAGAGTTGTGCTTGCTTTATCACTAATTTATAAAATAAAAAACGGGAATATTTTTATCAAGTTTCTTAATCTCTATCCTATATACCTAGATACTATTGAATTTTAACTACATACAGAAGAACAATGGGTTTACTGTTATATATTTTGATGTATATATGTATGGTATTTGTGAAATCTCTGAAGCACAGAGCTTTGAAAGTGAAAGCGTGAAGCTTTTTTTAGAAAGTTTCCAAGTCCAATTACAGTATTGTAAGGTGCCTTTTGAGAGTTAATTAAGTTTATCAATCTCGGTGGTTTCCTCATGAATACCTTTCAAACAACAGTTGTTTTAAGCAATGCTAATAAAGAATACTTTTTACCACGTCTTTATTAAGCCACTTTCTTGTTTATTTGTCTGCCTGTCTGTCATTCCAGATGGAATTTAGTAATTGATTTTAGACTAACTTCCTGATGAGCTGGAAACTTGAAATTTTGAATATAGCTCAAATTTGGATGACAATAATGCAAGAATTGAACAAATAAAAAGAAATATTCTATATATTAAAAAAAAATTAAAAATTTTAATTGTTTTCTAAATGAGGATATCCACAGTAGAATTGACATAGGAAAATGGGTCAGTAAGTTGAAATTGTAATGGGCTGGCCATATAACTCGAAAAATCATCAACCAATGGGAAAGAGTTTCGTGAATGGTAGTGTCTAGTGCCGGTAAGCGGCACTAGACACTACCATTCACGTGTATGGCGGCTCTTCCACTAGATATAGTGATGACCTGGTAAGATATGCAGGAAGTTGATGGATGCAAGTGGGTCAGGACTGTGCTTTGTGGAATACTTTGGGAGAAGGGCATATGTTTAGTTGTGAAGGGCTGTAATGTTGATGAAAATTGGATGCTGCAGTGCATAACTTTCCATAACTTATACAGTTCTCCATGCTTATTTTACACTTAGTTATACATGGTAGAGCCACGCTGCAGCTCTGGTTGTAGCAAGAACTTGAAGAGACGACTCGACCAGGGATGCACTACGCTCTCACAGAATACCATTATAAAATATAAAATAGATGTGTTTCATATGGTGAATGTAGAGAACCGGAGACCATTTTTACTGAAAACAAGGCATTTTATCTTAGTCTTCAGGGGTGATAACGCATCTGCATTTTGATTCTTAATAGAGGATATAAGATGTCTACGGGCCACAGCTTTCACCTACTATGAGGTTGACTGTGTGCTTGTTAAATATACAAGTATAGACATCCCACCGCTGGAGACAGATTTAATTCCCTTTTTTTGGATTTAGTTAATGTTTCATGTTCATTCTACCATGTAATTCCCATCTTATGTGATCTATAAAAACATTTCGCGGAAGTTCTACAACTGTCGTTCATAAAAGCTCGTTTAGACTCAAGTTTCGTCATAAAACATCTAGTTTCGGGGTATTCGTGTATACTTGGGTTTATTTTAGCCAATGCGGAAGAAAATTGCGGTCAACGAACTGCATGCGTCAACTTTCTTCCTTCCTATCTGATTATAATTAGCATTATGTGCATATTCCGGTCTTTTACTATTAATCTTACAACAGTAAAAATGCTTCATTATAAAAATAATACTTCAAGTTTTTTTTTTGTGAGAATATAGTGAATTTGATCCAAATAAAATAAAAATTCAAACTAAATAAATAGACGTGTCATATTTTATAATGTAAAATAAGCATATACGTTCAAGAAATATCATAAAACAAGGAACGTTTTAGAAAACTATATATGTAGGTACGAACATAATATTTAAAAAAAACCCTCTTTCTATTGTAGCGTAGCGTCTCCGTCCATATGGCCTATTCATGTTCAGGTCTGGGCGTTTTTTTTTCTCTACTCGAATTTTGAACGTTACAAAATGAGCCTTGTGATTGGCTGAACCTTATCACAGGACGCCAACTGTGGCCTTGAATTCGGTTTAAAAAAGCGTGCCCTTTGTTGACGGTTAACGGTCGAGGTACCTATTAACTACCAGGTATACACGTATAACGTATTTCTTTACCAGAAATATTTATTTAGATATAGTTTGGTATAATCTCTCTTTATCAATTTTACACACAGACGAGTATATAGGTAGTTATTTAGTATATAAGTTTATAAATGTGAATCTGACAAATCAAAATTTATGATAATAATAAAAAATATTAAAATGTGACGCCAACGTGAAAATGTACACGGAAATGTGAAATTAGGTTTGCAGCCGGCAAATGGCGACAAAACACGTGGAACTATTCGAATGGACCTAGTAGCTTTGCGGATCGATACAACTAGGCGGGGTCGGAAGACAATATATAAATCTTTTGATCGTATTTTGCTACAAAATTTTAAATAATCAATATTAATATGAAAAATAAATGATTATATTGCATAACGGTTATTTCTAAATTTAAAAAAAAATGACATTACTTGACAATCCACTGTATATTATATGTTAACGTGATGAAAGATAATAATTATTTTAAAGGAATAAATCTTTAAAAACACAGTAAACGTACAAAACCAACAATATGAAGCACAAGTTTTTATGCGTGAAACTCCGGCGTCACAAAATGCCGGCTGCAAATTCCCAGACAGTACGATACGAACAAAACTTTAATTAAAACAAAAGAACAACTGTAATTACCTTAGCGCCAATCTGGTTGCCGCACTGACCAGCCTGGATATGCACGATTTCCCTCATTTTTGTATATGAACTTAATAAATTACTTAACACTAATATAAATTTCTGCTCCGCACGCACCACGTACTTTCGTGGTTGCTTGAAGAATAATCTTGTTCCGTTTCGAGCCAACGACGAAAGCGCCGGTCGTAGTAGTGATGTGTAAAAGATAACTAACATATCGATAAATTTTGTCGCATTGCGTCATATAATAATGCTAAGTTGCTGTAAATTACGTTTATTTTATCAAAAATAGTTACTAAATTTACTGGAAGTTTACTATCTATGTAGATTATTTATGTTTAATATTTTCGTTTTATATATTTCTTCGCTAGGCGTTAATATATATGTAATTGATACCTTTCCTGAACCAAATTCATACATACATACATACATATAAACACGCCTCTTTCCCGTAGGGATAGGCAGAGACCACTTCTTTCCATTTGCTACGATCCTTACATACATACATATAATCACGCCTCTTTCCCGTAGGGATAGGCAGAGACCACTTCTTTCCACTTGCTACGATCCTTACATACTTGTTTCGCTTCGTCCACTTTCATTATTCTCTTCATACATGCTCTTCGGTTTAGGGTACTCTTGACCTGGCCTTTTTTCAAGACGTCCCTGATTTGGTCTAAAAATGTCCGCCTAGGTCTACCCATTCCAACACTTTCATTCACACTCGCCTTAAACACTTTTTTCGTCAATCGTTCTTCATTCATTCTCTCGACATGGCCAAACCATCTCAGGAACCAAATTCATGGCGTTATATTAACATTTTGTCCTTTTCTATAATAAAATGTACCTGTCTCTATACAACATTTTATTAAAATCCCTTCTGCCGTTTAAGCAAACATTTGAGTAGATAAACTATCTCATATATAACATTGTAGCGATAAGAATGATAATCGCGTAATAAAAATTAAAAATAAGCTCTGAAGCTGTCCTGGTGGTCATGAATTTTCTGAAGTCGCTTCCATAGTGCGGCAACTTCAGAAAATCCATGACCTCAATAAATAAGTTGAGCATGAGTTGTGCATTCTTAAGTATTTTACCCACTATTCTACAGAATGAAAACAGACAAGAGATTAGGAAAACAATCTGTTTTATTGTCTTTTTTATTTATTTCGGTTTTATGTTGTAAAAATAAAGAATAAACTGATTTATTGACTAATTTTTTAGAAGAATTATTAATATAAGTTATAAAATTGATTTGGCTATATATAGTTGTGTTTTAAACACAACTATATCATAATATCTGTAAACTATTTCTGTGATTTCTTCATTTTCTAGCTTTCTCCTTTATTAGTAGTCATCTCCTTACTCACTCCTCTCTTGAGCAAGTTATCTCTGGTACAGTCCATTCATCTTTTCTTAGGCCTAATACTTTACTCTCGTATTCCATATTCATAATTGTGTATTTATGTCAGTTTCTTGAATCGTACCTATTTTTGTAATCTGCCAAGAATAACAATAAATATAACTTGCGTCTGTCCATTAATTTTCTTCGACCCCCTTATATGTTAGATCACATTATGAGCATTAAAATTATTTGGTATTAATACCACGCAATTTTGTCAAATAAAAAAATGTAAATAGTATATACAAATTTTATAGATTTAAGACTTTATCTTACATAGGGGGGGGGGGGTATTTCGTGTTGGAATGACATTTTAGCCACGTAAACTCGTACTTATGGTTTTATGACACTACTAGAATTACTAGAATAAAATTAATCCATAGCATTTAGATTGTAATTGTTACGCCCATCCCTATTTCAGACTGCTGAATTGTGATTGGTTGACAACGTCAGAACTTTCTACAGTAGTGCCAATATATTATCGATAAAATGGGCGCGTCGTCATTTCATACTTCATTTTGTAGTATTCGAATTATATTTTTGGTAATGTTTGTAAACCTGTTTTTTTAAATGATGATAGTCTTTAAACATTTTGTTAACTTTGCCTGCTTTCTTAAATATCTTGATAATATTGTTGAAAAAGTCCAGGTGTGTATGTTTTGTTAGGTTGGTACTTGTCGCCGGCCGGCATTGAACCATTGGTGATTCAGCATATCTCTGTCTCTTTCTTTGGGTGGGGTACTGGCACAGTCAGGAGTACTTTGAAATTTGAAATTTTGAAACTGGTATTGGGGTATCAATACCAATAACTATTGGCAATAAGATAAAACACGATATGCCGCATGTATAAAAATTCATAATTCATATTCATAAATCAGCGAAATTAAAATATCACGCACTTTAATAAAATTATGACATAGATTAAGTTTTTTTTTATAGAATTTGGGTGACAAACGAGCACGCAGTCCACCTGATGCTAGGGTGGATGCCCCTATTACCAGCCTTTTAGAGCCAATTTCAACTTTAAAAATTCCTGCTATTTTAATTAGGGCACAATATTTCTATGCATTTGTTTTAATCGATAGGTTATTTATGGACAAATGTAATGAACATTTATTTACAATCATATTATTTCAAGAACAATTTTAAAAACGACGATAAGCAAAAATAGGCATTAAGGCTCAAATTCCAGCCACCCTGTCCATACATTACGTATATATTAGTAGTAGTCATACAAATCAAAAAGCTTATAGGTATATGAGATAATGTAAAGTAACCATAATTTTACCGGGATCATAACTTGTCAAAAAATTGGGAAAATGAGCGTTTTTCGTCGCGTACGTGTTTTGATTACTAATTTAACACTGTTAGGTTTAAAACTGTCAGGTAATATTTGAAATATACTTTCCTCTAGTTACAAAGGACTTTTTAGATGACAATATTTGTAGTTAAGACTACTATAAACCTTATTTACAAAGTAAAAAGGCGAAAAGGCTGGAATTAGGGGCATCCACCCTAAGTGGTTACTGTGGCGTGTGGCCCATAGACATCATCAAGCGAATCAAAATGCAGATGTGTTGTCAGCCGTGAGGACTAAGATGGAATGCCTCTTTTCCAGTAAAAAGGGTCTCCGGTTCTCTACACTCACCATACGAAACACAGCAGCATTAAGCTGCTATTTTACGGTGGTATTCTGTGAGAGCGTGGTCCTTCCCCGGTAGAACTGACCCATTCGTGCTACAACTATACTATTAATACAGCTGCAGCATGGTTCTACCGCGTAAACAAAGTACAACGTGTACTTACCTGTAAAAATTATAATTTTACTGCAAAGCTTACATGCAGTATTACCTATGTAAATAATAAAATAATAATATTAGTCATTGTTACCATGCCCTCTCCTTTGATTTCAATATAACATAAATTTAAAATTAACCTGAAATAAAAACTAACCACGTAAAAATATTAACAGTTGTAGCCAAAATTTTACGCAAATTGTTAATCGCGTAACTCTGACGCATTGGGATGAGAGTTTTTTCACGAAATTTATATGGGTCCATCCCTTAAGTATATCTTTCAAATATCTCTGTTCTCTTCTTGTCTGTTACATAAATTAAAAAAAAGATCCATTAAAGTCGGTTCACAATTGACGAAGATACCGCGTAACATACATTGGTACACATATAATTAAAAATTAAAAATTTTGTACAACGGACTTCAATATAAATTATTAAGAATAACTCAAAAACTATTGGTCAGACCTTGATCAAATTTATGCGACCACATGAGAAGCACCAGCTTTCAAACAAAAAAAAAAAGAATCATCGAAATCGGTTCACCCAGTAAAATGTTATGAGATAACACACAAAAAAAAACAGTTGAATTGAGTACCGGCTCCTTTTTGAAGTCGGTAGGTAAAAATAATATGCAGTCGAATTAAGAATCCGATGCGATTTTTAGAAATCGGTTAAAATTGCCTTTACTTTCACATATAGTAAAAAGACTAAAATGTACTTGTATATATATATATATATATATATATATATATATATATATATATATGTACATATGCACGTAGATTTCGAATTTTTGATACATATTACGGTAAATTTTATAAAATCTACCAAATATGCAAAGAAGCCGCATGCAGTTTTAAATTAGACGATCTCTCCAAACACTGCATATATTATTACCGCTACCGTTACCGTTACAGGCTATTAAAGTCCACTGCTGAACATAGGCCTCATCTATATATTGCCTCATATTTATATTTTTAAGTATTTGCCACAGTTTTTTTTTATTTAGTCGTTATTAGGGAGACGCTGCTGCCCATATCCTGATTTATTTCCCTCTGTCGTCTTTTACGACACCCACGGGATGATATAGGGCAGTGGATATTCTTACACCGCCACTACACGGTAACTGCATGTATAGTTGAGATGATATTTAGGTATCTCAGTTACAATATACGTGTTATAAGTATAAATGAATGATGACCATGGGTAGAACGGTGCATGGGGGTCACGGCTTCTGCTAGATAATCTGGTGCCCGCAACCACAGTATAAATATATAGTAGGCCGCAACGCACTAATCTCCACAGAGTATCTTTATATGTTTATATTATATTCCAAAAGTAACTACTGTGTATCGAGATAACGTGGTTTTGGATTTTAATTTTTAACTTAATAAGGTACATATAAATCCATAGAGCTGTGTCTTTACTTTTTTTTTATTATACATACAATTACTACCTAACTTATACTATAAAATTATACAACCGACAATAATTAAAAAAATAAAAACTGCGGCTTTCCAATCACGTTAACTATAGCAAATATCTCTTTTATTAGACAATCAATGGGGGAGAACTCAAAGATGTTTTATAAAACATCTTTGGGGAGAACTATATTCAGAAGTGGATTTCTGTTAGGCTGTAATGATGATGATGAAGATAATGATGATGTAATTGCTTGGGTATTATGAGGTATACGGTTGGTATGTGATTTCGCAGCTGTAGTTACGTAGTATCATTATTTAATCTGTGGCTGTAGTCTAGGCCAGGCGCCGCGCTGGGTCGATACTAGCTTGCTACATATTTATTTATCTATGGTCGACACGGAACGCAGAGGGTAAAGTTAGACAAACATGGAAACA